TATTTTGCACCCTTCTTTGCTACACCACACTACCCAAATCATTAACATTGTTACCTGAGTGACTAAGCTTCAAATGAAATTTATGTTCCATTCCTAACAAACAGAAAATGCACTTGCATTAATATGCCATGTGAATTTTTACATTTGTCAGAGAATGAATATGTGGACCGCAAAGACCATAGAAACAGACACATTTTGCCTCCAAATGGAAAACGATGGTTTTAAATAAATAAAAAAAAAAATTTATTAACAATTTTTACTGTTCTTTATTTGAAAATGTGTATACAAATTTTCACTTCATGCCATAGAAATAGACAGCATGTAACTTTGTGTATGGCTTTCCCCAAGAAGTCTTGACATGCCAAAACCAGCCTTGAAACTTAACATTTACATGTACCATGTTTTCATTTATAAATGTCTTGCCATTTGTACTTAGGTTATTCAGACAGCTGCTGGCTACAGTTAATCATCCTCCTCCAGAAGCCTATTTACAAGAAGAAGGAGAGAGTTTTGTTACTCTGTAGAGCAAAGCAAGAACAAGCTGCCAAACCCAAACAGATTTACATTTTTGGAATCTACATATACTGGTGTTTACATGTTTTATGTTACTGTACCTAATAAATGTATAAAAGGATTCAATGTATAACTGTGCCCAAGACTTCTCTTTTTCAAAGAGGACACCTAACAGTAAACCACGCTTTCTTATATAACGAGTATGCAACCTAGTAAACAGGAAAGCTACTAAGCAGTAAGCTGCCACTACCATCAAAAATTCACTTTAAAGATAATTTTGCAGAACTGCAGCTTCAGCAGAGAGGCAAAAAACAAATATTTTGAAATCTTATTTTTTCATTGAGTCAAAAATTTAAGTCATATAATCACTTCAAAAAAGAAAAAGTAGTTACTTTCCCAAACACTTTAAATATGTAACTCCAATGCTTTTGAAAAGAGTGCAAATGGTATAGTTATGTGTTTGTGGCTTCTTGAAGCTATACACTGGCTACTAAGAAACAGAGAAATCCACTTCTGTCCTTTCATTCAGGTTCTGATCTTCCATTTAAAAAATATGTTTAAAGTTTATGATTGTGAAGCAGACCTCAGCACATCACTGATGAGGCATCAGCTTAAACTTGCAAGGAGGCATGAAATACAGTTATGAAAAACTAGCTATGAAATGTGTGAAATTTTCTATTTGTTTCAGCTAAAAGAATTCATACATATTTCCACTGATGATAATTGAAATGTCAACACTGTTAATTTCATTCTACAAAAGTCAGGGAAGGTGTCTTTCACACAGTTCTGAGGTTTTATCTTTTTTGTCTACTTCAAATGGATTTCAGTTTAGACATACTTATGTATATTTTCATCAATGAGCATACCGAAGTTAATTAATCAACCATTTTGATGGGAAAATGTGACAGAGATATTTAGATACTTAACACAGTTGCCCTTTTTTTTTTTTAATGTTTGAATGAAGGCTTCCTGATTTAATGATGATTCATATGTTTCAAATATTCCATTTCATGTATTGTTAATTGTATTTCTCATTAATTAATTAAAACACAGTGATTTTACCCCACTTTAAATGATCATGACCTACCTTGATAATATACTAAATTTTGTAAATTATAGTTCTACAAAATATTTTGCCAAATCGCAACATTGCTAAGGATTACCAATTTGTCAAGAAATTTGGAACTACAAGAATTTATGTGGTTCCAGGTCATCTCTTTCCCTGGTATTGACAGTTGCCCTTCAAATTGCTGTAAAGAAATTACTTTATTTTCTTTTTACCTAAAATACCTCTAAGTGGCAATTTCAATAACTTTGGTTCTAGTTTCTTCCAAACTATTAGGTAGAAGAGATTTTAAGTTTTTTTAAACTGTACAAAGCAAAATAGGCTAAACTTTAATAATTATATTATATATATAGTATATATATATAGTGACAGCATAAAGTACTTCTGAAGGAAAAAATAGGTATAATAGTTCTGAAAAATAAAATGAGGTAAGATATCAATATTTACATGTGGGGTTTTTTAGCTTTCTTCTTTCCCCACTTTTAAGGAAAGAATGAATGAGTCCTATTATGTCAAGTTATCTGTTTTGTAAAGGCATTAGCATCAAAGGTGAAATGTGTGTGTATAAAACCAGATCCATTGGTGCTCCTATTACTTTCCATAGGAGAAGTCAGTTGCTCAGAATATATATACTGAATAGCAACTTTCAGTAATTAATCTCCACCATCAACAGTATCATTTAGCATATGCTTCACTTTAAACATTTGAAATAAGACTAGTCATGTAGCAAAAGCTAAAGTTCCTGCCAAGAAATTTTATTGAATGGGTCCATAAAGAAGCCTTAGAGAAAGGGTAGAAAAAGTAGTTTAAAGAATCACTTGTATTTGAAAGATAGATTGCTAAATAGTCAAGACTGACAGATAAATCACCTGCTACTATTCACTAGCACAAATGAGCATATGAAAGAGTGCCTTACTCTTCTTACCCTCTACTCCTCTGCTCTCAAGGTAGCCTTTGTTTTGTGTTGATCTTCCCATCAATCTTTGACCATTGTCAGAGCTTCCAAAGCTTAATGAAAATTGTCCCTGCACTGCTTAAGACACCACACTGCTGTCAACGCATGTCAGTGGCTTGAGCAGTGTATTGTACTTACTTTAAATGCAGAAAAGAGAAACTAAGAGAAAGTAACAGAAGAGAACCTAAACTAAGCTGATCTAAGCTAAGCTTTACTCTCTTAATCTCACTTCCTTCACAAGTTCTTTTCTTGCTGTTTTTCAATGTCTTATACACACTTTCTGATTAGTCACTTGATTTTCATGTGCAATAGCTGTGCTTCCAGTTGACCAGCCAGTCTTTGGGTCTCATGATCTCTGGGATGATAAAAGCTGTGAGTATATGTAAAGGTGCTGACACACACATAGAACAGGGAAAAGCTCCTGGAAAATTCTGCATTGGAAGTACAGACTATTGGCATCCCTTATGGAAATGGCATAAACGGTGAAATTTTATGTGAAATACTACATTTTTTTTAAATACTATGAGAACAGTAGCAGAAAGCATACTAAAATATTAAAGAAATATGCATATGTACAGTTACTGAGAAAGGAACAAATCTAAAAGCAGGTCATTCACTTATTAAAGAAAGTGACAAAAAATTTTGAACTATATATGAATGATGATATGCATTTATGTGATTCATGTCTTCACAGGATAGTGAAAGTTCTAGGAGTGAATAATTTACAATCAGGCGAACAAACTTCTGAATGTGATTGACCTTTGGGAAACAAAGACTGTCCTCTTTGAAGGTCAGTACAGCTGAAATATACTTTTAGAGGATGGGAAGAAAGAAGCCAGCTGTCACAGGTTGTCTGAGTCATAATAAAATGCATTAAAGTGTCACTTTGGAAGCTTTTTCTCCTTTTACCAAGTCAATCCCAGAACGAAAAGTATAGTCATTAAGAAGAGAAAAGTAAAAATGTTGCAAGGTGCGTATTTAGTTTCAAATTTTAAAAATACCTTTAAATGTGTGCCAGAAAAATCAGGAAAGGTTTATGATTAGTATGACTATATGACAAGACTAGTAAGAATCTGCAATTTTGTGTCCATTATTTCCCATAATGAATCACATTTTAGTAAGTATCTGAAAATTAATCTTGTTTTCTTAAGGTAAGCCAAATGAAACATTACATCTGATCAGATCCTTACGACTAACCAAACAGTGTCAATGAAATTGCAACTGAACATTAAGAATTCCTTTCTTCATAATGATCATTAATGAAAATAATGTATTTGATTGCACCAGTCAATAAGTAAGGTATTAAATCACATAAAATCCATATCTATTAGTCTTTAATATGTATTAACTAAACTAGACAGAACAGTATCAAAGTATTAGCTTACAGGATGTAAAATGCACCACTCAAAAAAGTCAAATAAGCAAGCACAATTTATTATTGCTCTCACTCCTCTAAAGTCTGCATTTTAGTTTGCTTTCAGACTTCCAATACCAAGGGCACAAGTGACATTATACTCATTATAGAGCCACAGAAAAGCTTGGGTTGGGAAGGACCTTAAAGATCATCTAGTTCCAAACCATCTCCCATGGGCAGAAAAACATTTCATGACATCACAAACCCAACCTTGAACACTTCCATTGACGAGCATCCACAAGTTCTCTGGGCAACCCAGTGCCTCTCAACCCTCACAGTAAATAATTTCCTCCTAAGATTTAATCTAAATCTATTTTAGTTTAAAATCATTTCCCCTTGTCCTAATACTATCTACCCATGTAAAAAGTCACTCCCCTTCTTTCTCATAATCTCTCTTTAAGTACTGAAAGGCCGTAATGAGGTTTCACAGAACCCTTCTCTTTTCCAGGCTGAACAACACCAGTTCTCTCAGCCTGTCTTCACAGCAGAGGTGCTCCAGCCTCCTCCATCTTTGTGGCCTCCTCTAGACTCACTCCAACAGGTCCATGTTTTGTGCTGAGGATAGTAGGCCTGGATCAAGTACTTTGAGTGGGATCTCACAATGGCAAAGTAGATGGGGAAAATCCCTTCCCTCACCCTGCTGCCCACACATGACACTCTTGGCTTTCTGGGCTGCAAGAACACCTTGCCAGCCTCTCACCTACCAGCACCCGCACGTCCTTTACAGCAGAGCTGCTCTCATCCCCCAGGTTGGATTGATACTGGGGGTTGCCCCAACCCAGATGTAACACCTCCCATTTGTTCTTGCTAAACATTATGAGATTCCCACTGGTCCACATCTCAAGCTTGTGCAGGTTCATATGGATGGCATTCAGGACCAGCTGTACAGTACTGAATGATTAGCAGTGAATTATGGAACACTCTGACAGTGTTTGGAAAGAGAAGAAGCTGACAACTCAGAGTATTTAATGTTCATTTTCCTCCCCAGATTTGAGGGTACAGTATCTCTTGATATCATGTGGAGTGATATCACCTCCTCAGGGGGACAGGAATCATGCAGAATTGGGTGTTTTCTTCAGGGACTCCAGGAAGATGCGCTCACCTTCCAAGAAATCAAGCTCCTGAGAAGAGAGGGATGGATGGGATGAGTATGAGTGACAGGGGCACATTCCAGGGTGATGCTCATGACAGAGGGAAGGATTCCAAGCCCTTCTTCATGCAGGGAGCTATGGGCTGGCACTCATCTGTGGTACCCATTGGTGTACATTGGGAGGCCTCCCTATAGTCCATAACTATGAATGTGACCCACCAACAAAGCCTCCAAGACCATCCCTGCTTGGGCAAGGACACATCTGGGAAGCAGGAGCTGATACGAGAGAATGGGGACTGAGCCAGAGTCTGGTAGATTTGGCTTCAATTATACAGGGATGTGGTGGGAGAAGGACAACCCTGGTGAGCTAGGGATGTTATCCATGAACATGAGACCAGCTATGAGGAGGCACTTGTCCTTGCTTTTGTTATTACTCCTCTGTTCCCAGTTTCTGCAACCCTACCCAACCCAGCAGCTCAGTAGTGGTCTTAGGAGACACCCCACGCTCTGTATATCAGTCTCAAATCACATTTTACCCAGCCCTGCTCCCACTCAGCCGGTTCCAAGCTCATTCCAGCCCCTGTATCCCACTGCCTCACCATCTGGGCCCTGTGTCTCAGCATCTGCAGCGTGGCATTGAGTGCAGCGGAGCTGTCTGTGTTGTTCCTGCAATACCACAGGCCATCCTGAGGGTGCATCCTGCCTGCAAAACACACCTGACTGGATGGTGCATTGCTGTTGGAGGCTTCACAGATGGGGAAAACAGTGCAAACCTTTTTTGTTTCTTTGGTGACCACGTGCACCTGCAGCAGTATTCTCCCCAAATTCCCAGTGTAGAAGGGCTTTAATACACCAACACCCCAGAGCACTGCCCTGGCTCAGAGAGTTTAGTTGAGCTCCTGCAGAGGATAAGGAGCCAAACTCACACACAGATGAGCTTTAGGCATTAAAACTGCCCCCAGGAACATCCCAAGCCTCCTGACAAACGAACTACAAAAGCAGCTACTTTCCACACAACCCTTTCTGTCAGCATCATGAAGTCTTACACTGTGTGCTGGAGAGGCTTTCCATAGGGGCACAGAGGTTCTGGGCTGTGCTGCACAGCTGTTCGAGCTGTCTCCTCTGCTGAGTTGTGCTCAGCCAATCCTGCCCCTTTCCCACAAGAAAGAAAAACTGTTGGCAAATGTGCAGGCCCTTGGCACAGTGGCCACAGGCCAGAAAGGGGAGGAGGTATTTGCCTGGTGCAGAAGCTCTTGATGCTGCCTCAACTGCTCCAACTGCCTCTGCGTCGCCTGGAGTTTGTTCTGGTATAAGGACTCTATTCGGCGTGCCTCCCGCAGGGCTCGCTTCCCTAGTTTATACTTCTGGGATGAGCGCTGCAAAGCAGAGTGGAAGATGGGAGATAGGGTCCCTTGCTGCCCAAGGGCAGGGCTTCCTTGCACATCCCCTTATTCCCAGCTCAGGATTAGAATACAGGATTTAAGGAGGGTGAAGCCCCAGATTTGCTCCTGGCCTCTGTACAGGTGTGAATTGCAGTGTAGATGCTTCACTTACTTCAATCAGGCTTTTAATCTCTTTCTTCTGCTTCTGGATGTGCTGTGTAGCACTGTTCACCTTCTCCTTCTCTAGCTGCAGCTCATGCCAGGATTCATCTAGCTGTTCCCTGTCCCTCTCCAGCTGCTCCTCCTTGGCTCTCAGCCTGTGGCCCTGGAAACTCAGCTCTGCCTGCTCCTAGGATGGGCAAGAGGAAAGAGTTGTATTACTTGCCCTGTTCACCTGGACACTGTCTAATGTCTTCCTAAGTAGATGAAGGAGATCAGTCCTTGCTGATCTCCTACAGGCCAGTTTGGGGTGCAGAAAAACACCACTAGGTACTCAAGCAGTGCTCTTATTCACCTGCCCTTGAGGGTCCAGACTGGTAGAGCTCTGTGCAGACATACTCACATTCTTTCCCCAGAAAGGACAGAGCCCCTCACCACATTGCACACCCTAAGGTGTGCTCAGGGCATGGTAGTTTGTCAGCAGTGGGAAAACTTGGCATGAATGGTTATTTTCCACCCCATTAGTGCTTAAAAAGGTAGCTCTGCTGCACTGTCTGTGCCATATATTCACTCTTGGCAGCTCCAGGCAGGAGCAGAACGTGGCAGGACATGTGCCCATGGCACAGGGAGGTTTTGCCTAATCCACCTTGGAGGTTTCCTCTCAGCAGACTTAAAATGGAGGTCTGCTCCTTCTGTTCTGACCATTCAAACTCCTCATAGGCACAGGAGAGAGACAGAGAGGACTGATGCTTCAGTCAAAATCTAAGACATAGTGGTGGATGCTGTTCCTCAACAGCCAGGTTCACACCACACTGAGTTGTGTCTCTGACTTTACACCTGAAGGCAGCACTGAATGTCTTCCCTGTAGGCAGGACCTATTCCTGGAGCCTGCCAGGTGGTGCTGGAGGCCATGGGAAGGGGCTCCACTGTAGTACCTTGGCCAGTCTCATCCTGGTGTGGTCCATCTGTCGGGATTGCTCCATCTTCTGCTCCTCCCACTCCTCCCTCAGCTTCTCTTGGGTATGGAATTCTGCCCACTCAGCCTCCAGCTTTCCTCGCTCCTCTGAACACTTCTGTAGCATTGATTTTTGCTCCTCCAGCAAAGTGTTCTGGAAATCATGGCAAGAGAGGTAGAGAAGAAGCCCTAAGTCCCATCTACCAGGGGATTTTTCATATTTGACACATCGTTCCCATTAAACCCCACACAACATTGGAAGGCTGGTTTCAGCCCATGGCCAGAACTCTGCAAGGAGAGCTCTGGCTTCTTCTCCTTGAGAACCAGCATGAGTCATGCAGTCACACTGCAGCCTCTGGCATCTGCACAGTAGAAGGTTGTTTGGATGGTGATTCCCCACATGAGCAGGTGTGGGATGAAGAAAACAGAGGTCAGATGAAGGAGGCTGCAGCCCAGCACCCAGCTCTTTCTGTCATCACATGCTGCAGTGCAGTGCTGCACACACTGACAGTGCATGTCAAAAGCACCTGGCCATGTCCACCTGACCTCACCTTCACCCTCTCCAGCTCTTCTCGCTCTGTGGAGAGCTGTTGCCTCATGAATTGTCGCTGCTTCTCCATTGAATACTGCAGTGATTTCACTTTGGCTTCCTCCACCATTACCCTGCCACGCTCCTGGGTTTGGACATGAAGGAGAGACAGATGTCATTCCCAGACTCCAGTGGACGAGGCACATGACCCATACCCACATGGGAATGCTGACGTGTGCACAGGACACAAACTGGGCTCACCTGCTCCAGCAGCTGAGTCTGCTCACTCAGCCTGGCCTCCAGTTTTGCAATCACCTCCTGAAATTGGCTCCGCTCCTTCACCATGTCCCTCTGCTGCTGTGACAGCCTGTCCTGGAGCTCTGGGGTAGAGGCAGCAGCAGGGTTGTGAGCAGCATGAGCTGGGATACTCCCACAAGTAGGTGCAGAAAAACTGTACCTACTTGTGCTCACCACCTGCTGTACATCCCCAGGACTCTGTTTTGTCAAGGGGAGATCCTGAGATGTTGGGTGGCCAAAGTAAGCAAGGCTTTGCCAACCTCAGCTGGACTGACTTTCTCCAATAAACTCATTAGCAGAAGTGAGGGTCTGCAGGTGTAGGTTCCATAGGAATGAATCCCACTTTGATGATACACACCCTTGAGCTGCTTATCCTGCTCCCGTGGCATGAAATGTTGCTGTGCTGGGGCCACGTCTTGCCTATGCAGTGGGAGCTCAGCTGCCAGCTGCTCCTCTTGCTGCAGCCTGTCCTCCTGCTGCCCGTTGTTCTTCTCCACCACCTTCATATGGCTCCTGCCGAAGAGTTAACAGCAAGAACAGTGTTGCTTTCTTGGCCATACCCAGCATGCTGGGGATGTGCTGGCAGTGGGACTGGCCCCTCCTCCTTGTAACCCATAGCAATGTTGATGAGAATGAGCCACCACCCTGGTCCCCTGTGGGGCTGCTCTCTGCCACCACCAGGTCCACATTGATATGGCTCTGCCCTCACCAGGGATGGACTGGGGAAGCACTCCAGCATTCCCGCCTCACAGGAGATGGACAGAGCTATAGGCAAGGACCTGACAGAGGAGGGAAGAACAGGTCAGAATCTGCTACCTGTGGGCAAATGTAATGAGATCCAAGTCCTCCTGGTGCTGCTGCTGGAGAAGACTCAGTAACTGCCTGAGCTGTGCCTGCTCTATCTCCAGTGTCTGGACCTGCTTGACACCCAGAGAGAAGGTCCTTGTGTGATCCCAGGGACAGAGTTCCCACAGCAGCACTTTGGGGCTGTAGGCATCTCTGGACACCAAGATTCCATGTGCCCTGTCCCCAGATGCTACTTGGAGCAGACAGCCCCTTCTCCTCCCTCTGCGTAACCTGTGCTCTCCCCACCCAGCAGGCAATGAGGCTCACCTGGCCCTCCAACTGTGACACATGAGCTTGGATGTGGAGCAGTGCTAACAAGCAGCTTGATGCAGACTGGAGATGTGACTCAGCTACATTACCCTGACAGGACACAGGGATGTTGTCAGGGAGGTAAAGCACCAAATAGAACACATCTTCCTCACCCTAGCCCACTGCAGCACTTCCTGTATCCTTCTCCTGCCCAACTGCACTGCTGGTGGGTCCTTTCTCCCCAGGAGCAACCCCTACCCCAGACACAAGGACACTGGGCTTTGTTTTCGGGAGACAGATTCAAGGAGAAGAGTGTAATTCCTCTGGGAGACAGTGTGTATCCTGCCATCTGGGCAGGGTGAGAAGACCCATCTAAATGAGAAATAGAGGATTCCAAGACCAAGCAAGAGCAGCCTCTGCTGTCAAAGCTCTAATTCCCCTTCAGTTCTCTAGAAACAACTTCACAGCTCATCCCTGATACCCACTGCTGACTTGAACGGTGTAAGATTGAAGCAGGAAGGGTTAATTGAAACACTTTTACTGTAAACCCACAAGAGCCCCCCTTACCCCCTGTATTTCGTTTACTGTAATCTGTACTTTTACAAGAAGGCTATGTTCTCTATTAAGAGCATTAGACCTTAAAGGAACCACAACAAACACTAGACAAAGAACTCAACACACATAAATCTCATCCAGAGGAGCCAAGGTAGACATTTGAATAGGTAAAGTAGGCCTAGAGCCAAAGGTCTCTTCAAGCTGGACGATCAGGACACGAGAACAATGGATAGAACAAAAGGTCACGGATGTCACCCGAGGAAGATGAGTAAAATGCAGACCCCAGGATGAAGGCAGGCAAGAACTCCCACCATAATATTCCTCAAAATAGAGACCACACCTCAATCTCCACCCCGACTCCACCTGCTATGAATATTGTAATCTAATTATGCAATAATATGAATATGCATGTGACTATGTTGTAATCATGATTAGAAACTGTATAAATTGCTTGTTTTTACTGAATCACTTCGGAGCTTTTTTGTCCAGCCTGAGCTGGAAGCTACCCCGGTGTCGTTAATCATTCAATAAATACCTGCTGTTTATAGGCTCAAAATTCTGCCTTTAAGCAGTTTTTTTTTTTTAAAGCTGCCTTTTTTTGGGCATCAAGACTAGGGACAGTATTGGCCTGCCTCTGCGCCAGCACTTGGGACACTAGGGCTTTCTCCTGAAATTTGGGCTCACCTCTAGAAATTCTATGTCCTCCTCAAGTTTGTTGAAGAGATCATCCTCTGGCACAGACCTGTGACACAAGCCTGGGCATTAGCAACACCCCTCATGAGCTTGGTAAAGATACTTTGGGAACAGTCAGGCCAGGCAGGGGGAGGTGCTGGTGACCAGACAGGTAAAGTGCATCAGCCACATCGTACAACACAGAAAAATGAAGCAAAACTAGCACTGGGATAAAAGATAGCAGAGTTGGGGAATTGCTCTGTTTAGCAAGTAACTGTTACAAAAGAGATTTACAGGGAACTGGGTGCTGAGGAGCACTCAGCTCTTGCTGGAAAGCTTAAGGCTCTGGGGTCCCAGTTCCCAAAGGCATCACAGGTAATTCACCTTCTCAGACAATGGTTATTAGGTCAGGGAATGAGGTGGAGAAGCCAAGGACAGGTAGATCAGAAGAACCTGGAAAGAGACTATGGAGAGATACCCAAGAGCGATAAGATGTGTCTGAAAGGCACTCACTTCTCACTGGCCTGTGAGTAGGTGTCCTGGGCTCTCAAATTGCTACGCTTAGCTGTTTGGAAAGCTCTGGCACCTTTAACGGTATATTCATCTGGAAACCAGACATGGAGTGATTAGGACAATGGACATATTCCTGACTCTGTCTTTCCAAAGGGGAATCTACTGCGTCTCAATGGGCCACTGCTGAGCTCAGTGCACCCAGCACCATGTCCCCACAATGACACAAAATGAGGATGTCATGATCCTGCAGATTGACAACATGCTCAAAGGATGGCTGGTCACAGCCTGATCAGCATTCCCATGGCCAAGGGTGATGCTGTAGCTCCTGCCTTTTACTGGGTTCTTTTTGAAGAGCAGGGGGACCCTTTCTGCCTATGACTGTCCAAACTATACAACCACATGATACGCACCCGAGGCTCTGACCTTTTGGGAGGGATCTGGCTTTGCAGACTCCAGAAATTCTGCTGAGGCTTCTTTTGTGGTGCTGGCCTGAGAGACCGGCTGACTGCGTGGGCACAGAGACACAAGTAATTCTCAGCAGTGTCACAGCTCTGGTAGAGGTGCACAGGCATTTGCCTATTGCCATTTTTGTCAGTTTAAATCTTTGCTGTCCCCTGGGATCAAATAGGCAAGGGTCTGATGATTCTTCAGAGCTGCCTTCCCTCTCAGATACAGAGGTCCCAGAGCAAAGGTTTTACTGGTGGCCACCCACTCTCCCCATTCCCCCATTTCCTCACACACGCAGTTGCTTTCTGCAGGACACTTCTCCCATGGAGGATGCCTGAGAAGCAAGTGAGGCCTTACCTGGAGCCATTTGTGCTCTGTGCCTTGTCCTGTGGAGTAGCTATCTGTTGTGGTGCTCTTGTGGAGGCATCTAGCTGGCTTCAAGCACAAACCATCCAATGGGAGACAACCAAGGAGAGGATGAAAGATGAGACCCTTGCCCCTGACACCCATTCCTGCCTCACAGCTGACAGCAGGTCCCAGTTGACTGGGGCAGGATTCAGCTTTTTGATTTCAGAAGGACCACAGACACTTCAAAATGTCCATCAATGGTGTTCCTTCTTGCTGAATCCATCTCCTGCTTCTGGCAGCAGCAGCCCCAGCTAATACACTTCTGCCCACGACACATGTCAGTTTGTCTGCAGTTCACTTCTGAGTCCCATTTGGTTGGCACAAGTCTGAACCTGTGTCCAAGTGAACTCAGCACAGGAGGCCCTTTGCTTGCAACTAGCAGGAATGACGGGAAGTGGAGGTAGGAGCAAGGAGGGTGGGGGAGCTTTTTGGGTTGTGCTGATCCAGGACAGCTCCATGGGATCTGGGGCTACATGTGCAATCTTGACCACAGATGGAAAGAGAGCTCAGAGCTGGGACAAGACATTGGGCTGGGTCAGTAGTAGAAATCCCCATGTTAATACCCTAACCTGAGGACGGTGCTTATAATTAATTTTCTAAATCTAAGCTGAAGATTTCTGAGATGTCCTGCTAGAACAGCTACAAGTTGAGCAGATGGGAGACCCACAGCCATTGTCTGTGCCTTTACCTGACAGGTGTGTGGAGGTCCTGCCCTTCACCCGGGGCCTCCAAGGCTTTTGCCTGGTCTTGACATTTCTTGTGAGCCAAGCCAGCACTCAACCAGTCCTCCTTCTTCTTCAGTGGGTCAGCTTTAGCTGCTGCCTTCTCTTCCTCCTCCCTCCTTCCTCTAGTTCCTACTGGGATTTCTGTACCTGGGAAAACATAGCTGGAAACATCTTCACTGAAAAATCTATGTGTGAATGGGAACACTTTCTTAGTTTGGAGTGAGCCCATATCCAAATGCAACTGAGTCATGGCTACAGTGCAAATGTTACCAGGCTGCCTCTAGGGCAAGTATGACACTTTTGCATCAGCCACCTTCCCTTCTGTGTTGACAGAGAGCCCATTAGCAACCCTATTCACCACTACAGAAAAGGCAATTCCTCTACAAGGGCATTAGAAACCAAACTCGCTCTGCCAAGATAATACTGTCACATCTGACAACCTTCCCAGTGTCCCCGGCTGGGCTCACCCAGCTGCTTTTTATTCTTCTTATCCAGTTCTAATTCCCTATGCTCTCTCTTGCTTGTGTCTTCCAGGAGGAGTATAAAGATGCTGCTCTTGCAGCTGCCAAGCTCACAAAGCAGGAGTAGGAAAGCTCCCAATCTCGATAAGCCTTGCTCTTTTGAAACTCCCCAAGAAGGCTGCTCTTCAGCCTCATCAGCGTAATGCCCTCCTTGCTGGGCTAAAGAGAACTCCCAGGACTTGAGCCAGTATTAGAAGAATAAAAGATTTAGCTTCACTTAGCCAGCAATGAGACATCTTTACCAAGTAAGCCTGCTGCTTCCTATTCAGTTAGCCCCTGGCCACGAGAAACCCTTGATCTGTAAGCTCTCACCCTGCAGTGTTTCAAGAGTCCCTAGGCAACCTCAAAAGCACTGTTTCAGAATCAGGGCTGCAAGAGGCCTCCAACCGGGCAATTAGGGAGGAGAAGAACAAAAATGAAATGTAGATTATCCCCTAGATTTGGAAATGACTCCAAGAGAGGAATACAGGTCCCCAGTAAACAAATCGCCTTCATGGGAGAGACAGATGAGCATGTCTGGTTAAGGAAGGACGTGATGCACTCAACTGCAGCTTTCAGACAAGGATTCTGGAACATTCCAGCAGCCAGGGTTGCCATCTGTGCCCAGTGTGCCCTGTCCTCTGTCCCATGCATTTCCAGGAGATAAGGCACTTGCATACATGAATGGAAAGCAGGTGACTGTACATACCTCCAGAACTCTTCCTGCTATTTTCAGCCTATGGAGAAAGACAGATTCCTTCATTAGAACACAAAGCAGGTCTGACCCACACCTTCCCAAAATGCACTAAGGCCAGAGGCATCCCATAAAGAACAGGACAACCCTCCTCCTGCTCTTTGGGAATTGGCATATGAAATGCAGAGAAACCACAGGAATATTTCCAGCTTTAGAGACAGCAGTGAACACAGCCCCTCTAAGCACTGGCCGTGCAGAGCCTTTAGCTCCTGATATCCCTCCTATCTTCCAAAAGAGGGGACAGCGCATCCACTTTGGAGATGACATTCTTGCCTTCAGGACTTATAATACTCACCATGGCAGTGTGTCCCAGCCTTCTTGTGACACAGCAACTTGGTTTATGGCTTGTTCCAATGACCAGTGGGGCGGGATGGAGCCCCCTGGGTCAGGATGGAGCCCGCCGGTCCCGTGGCACGGAGCTCCCACCCCCTCCGCCTCAGCGGTGCCACACTAGGTTCCTTGCACATGTTCCTGGAGTTCCAGGTTGCCATGGTGATGATGCTGCCACTCCCAGAGTATCATCAGAGACGTCTCCACAGCCCCAGAGCCATGGGCTCTTCCCTCATCCCGGGACCATTCTCCCTCCCTGAGCTGAGGGAAATATCCCCAGCCCTACTTCATGTAGTGAACCACGGTCTGGCTCTCATCCTTGGTACCCCTTGCTGTGTGTGGTGGGCCTCCCTATAGCCCATAACCTCACACTGTGAGTGGGACCCACAGACAAAGCCTCCAGCAGCATCCTTGCCGAACAAGGGCACATCTGGGAAGCAGGAGCAGATAAGGAGAGGATGGGGACATCAGTGAGCCAGAGCCTGGCTCCTCCCATGCAGAGATGGGGTGGGAGAGGGACTACCCCAGTGGTCTGAGGATATTATCCATGAATATGAGACAAGCTGTAAGGGTACACCTGTCCTTGCTTCTGCTATCACACCTCTATTGCCCATGAAGCTACAGCCCCAGCCCAGTGGTTCTGCTCTCCCTGGAGACGGCAGAGAAAATAGGGCTACTTGAGTTCAAATGGTATTTATATTACTTCATAAATATCTAGCTAATATAAAATAAATGGTAGCACTATTAAACTTTCATGCAGAGGGCAAAATGCTTTAGCCCTACCTGAAGAAACATTTGCAACCTTTTCTTTTTGACAACATTTTAACTTTAGACAGTCCGATCGGAAAAACTGTTGTTGCAGAAACGTTTTGCTTTGTGGGATATACCTGGGCAATTTCTCACATCAGGAAAAGAAAAGTCTTCATCTCTGAACATGCTTTCTCTGAAAGAATTTCATCCAAAATAATGTTTGCAAATGCTTACATAACTAATTTCTGTATCAGTGTTTTTCGATATATTTTTCCCCCTACCACTGTTGGACTTTTCTTTTACTGTTTGGGCAAATTACAAGTTCTAAGCAAATTATGACAATCATGAACTAAAAGGAAGGTGACTCCTTAGTTAAGCCTACCAAAACTAAGAAACCCCTTGTGTCTACATATATTTTTTTCTTTTACAGTTTTTACCTTCAGTCTTGTTCATTGCTTTGACCAAATGACAAGTCATGTTCATTTCATGGCAATTCCCTTTCATTTCAGAAACAGTGAGGAAATAATTCCAGCTCTTACTGGAGGACCTGGAAGTTCTATATTTTCTTGGTCATTTTTTATCACAAATTCCTTTATCTACATAAACATTTGAAACTCATCAGAGAAATTTCATTCTTACAAAAGACTACACAGCAGAGTGGAACAATCAGCTTAGATGGTGCCACTCTAAAAAAGGTTTTAAAATATTAGTCTAATTGCTTTCAAAATTGTAAATTAAGCTTTAATGGTCAGAGTAACAGAGATCAATATTCCCAGTGGAATTACAACAGAGATTATACTGCCTGTTGGTCTGAACTATTCAATGAACTCTTCTGCAAGTTTCCTCGGAGTTGCACTGTTCAGTGTGGAACACGGGCAGTGAAATGGGGGTGACAACTGAATGTGTTGCTGGGTGCAGTATATACTAAGTACTCTAAACATCTGTATGTGGTCAGAGACCAGTGAATACTGCCAGAATGTACAATGTTAGAAGGAATGTTGAAGGACCATTCCTAACCCAGAAGAACATGCATGAAAAAGTGTAAATTCAGAAGAAACCGAGGAGTTAATGAAAATGAACACAGTTAAATTCCATACCTGTGGTACCTTGGCCAACCTCATCCTGGCGCAGTCTATCTGTCAGGATTGTTCAATTTTTCTGCTCCAGCCACTCCTCCCTCAGCTTCTCTTGGTTGTGGAATTTCACCCACTCAACCTTCATATTCCTGCACTCATCTGAGCACTTCTACAGCATCACCTCCTGCTCCTCCAGAAAAGTGTTCTGGGAAGCATGGCAAGAGAGGCAGAGAAGAAGCCCTAAGTCCCATCTGCCAGGGGATTTTTCTGTGTACTAGAAGGGTTGCAATTCCCCACATGAGCAGGTGTGTAATGAGGAAAACAGAGGTCAGATGAAGGAGGCTGCAGCCCAGTACCCAGCTCTTTCTGTCATCACATGCTGCAGTGCAGTGCTGCACACACTGACAGTGCATGTGAAAAGTACCTGGCCATGTCCACCTGACCTCACCTTCACCCTCTCCAGCTCTTCTCACTCCACAGAGAGCTGCTGCCTCATGAATTGTCACTGCTCCTAAGCAAGTGCAGAAAAACAGAATTCAGAGAAAAACTACACTTCCTTGTACTCACCACCTCTGCAAATCCACAGGACACAGTTTTGTCAAAGGGAGACCCTGGGATGTTGGGTGGCCAAAGCAAGCAAGGCTTTGTCAGTCTCAACTGGACTGACTTTATCCAATGAACTCATTAGGAGAGGTGAGGGTCTGCACTGTGACTGTGCTTGTCTATCATTCCATTATTCTATTACTGGAATGAATACCGCTTTGATGAAACACACCCTTGAGCTGCTTGTCCTGCTCCTGGGACATGAGACACTTCTGGGCCACTAGGGCTGTGTCCTGGATGTGTGACAGGAGCTAAGCTGCTGGTTGCTTTTTCTCATGCCACAACCTCAGCCCCTGCTGCCACATCTGTGGGCACTAGTTTTCTCATTTATGGGGTAGGTATGCTCTTCCTGGTCTTTCTTTTCTGACCTACGCCCTTATAGATTCCCTTATTGTTTTTCACATCCCTGGCCAACTCCTGTTACATCTGTGACTTAAAATTTTAAACAATATATTTAAGGAAGGACTTCTATCAAAACTCTTCATAGTTTCAAAAGCCTTAAAGAGACTAGGTGTAACTCAAGGAAGAAGGTTCATCTGCAACTCAAATCACTTTCAACAGAGATGCAGTACTGCCTGTTACTCTCTTCTGGAGTTTATTCAACTATGCCTTGCTTGTGTCATGTAATTGAAAGTTAACAGCACAGGTTATTTAACCAAGTGGCCAGCACCACGTCTTGCAAAGATATAAGAAAGGCTATTTGATGTTGTAGCAATGACATTTGATTAGACTTTCCCACTTCAAAGTTTTGATAACACTCAAATAGGTAACAATAACATTATGTTCTTTGTTTCTTTGAATTTCATTGAACAACAGTTGAGATTTTGAAGATCTATATCAAACAGTTAATACAATAAGTCCACTTCATTAAATGCCAGGTAAAATTGAGGTCTGGTGAATAATACCTTGTTATTGTTCACAGTTACTACCATTAGAGATGGCATCTACTTTTTTTTGGTTTGTTTTAATTTAAATTTCTGTATGAGATTACTGCTGGCTTTAAATTTCCAATTTTCAACAAGAGCTAAGTTCAAACCTAGAGTTTTACAGCTGCAATTTATTAAGAACAGGTATTTTAAAGTTACAGTATTGAAAGATTAGCAGTGAATTATGGCACAGCCTGCACATTAAACCACCAGGTTATGTAACAAATTTACAGGCAATCTGCAACCTAAAATAGTAGTATCTTAGTGCTTTGGAGATTACATTAATTACAATCACTCTAAGAATGCAATAA